CCAGAAATAATTACACGGAAACTGTATTCTTTCAAACACTGCCTGGCCCGGCTAGGTCCAGTTTCTTATTGGCTAGCTCTTACATATTGTTCTAACCCATTTCTAATATTCTGTGTAGCCCATGAGCTGGCTTACCAGAGAGGATCTTAACCTGCGTCTGTCTGGAGTGGGAGCATCATGGAGACTCTCTCACTAAGCTTCTTTATCCCAGAATTCTCTTCTGTCTACTCCGCCTACCTAATTTTCTGTCCTATGAGGGCCGAGCCAGTTTCTTTATTATTACAAGACCCACCTCCATCAGCTAAGCATTCAACAGTCACTTCTTCTCAGCACTGTGAAGTCCCTGCATTCACTGTTGCCCACTGCATGAAGACGCTCCCTTAACCCAGGCTGAGAGCAGCACTAGTCTGTAAAAAATAAATAAGTAAATAAATGTTCAAATTGCAGCTTAAGTACATGTCCACTTAGCAAAATATTAGTACTGTGTTTCTCCTGGTACCTGTAAACTCCCCAGCCATAGACTTTTAAGCAGGTTCATGGTGCCAAGTATATAGTCTCTCCTGTGGAACAGGCCTGAAATACAATTTAAAAACACTTGGCTATCCTCCAGATAGTCTTGATACTACTGAACCAGTAAGTATCTTGCCTGATAGGGCTGTAATATAGCACACAGTAAGATTCGGTAATGACGCTGCTCTTCCAGTAGCCTGCATAGAACCTTCTGGTACTATGAATGATAGCCAGAAAAGAGGAAACTTCAGCTTGACTTTTCTGTATCATGCATCCAAAGTAGATGGTATCTACAGCAGTACGTCTTACCACCTTGTGTTAGTGGATGCCCAAAAGAAATGAAAGTGGGCTGTGATGCTTCAGGAGCCTCTAGGACCTCCCTGACCAACAACTCCTAAGGTGCTTTCCAAGGAGCTGTGTTCTTATCCATGCTTCTGCTGCATTAAGAGAACAGCTGGAGACTGGAAACAAAACAAAACAAAACAAAACAAAACTGGTTACTCTCAAAACATTCAGCAGTTCCAACACTTATGCAGAATTTTCTAGAGCTTTACACAAAGAGCAGCAGTTCATGGATAATCAACCTGAATTTTAACAGCACTTTTATACAAATTCAAAACAAATATTTTTATTATAGCACTCAGCTGTGAGGCTTTAAAGATCCCTAATAATCAAGATGGGTTCTATTTTTTTACACTAATATAAAATATATAACCTTTTGCTCAGTGTTTCTACCTTATGGTCATCCTGTTACAGGACAGAGATAATAGAGTAGAATATTCAAGACGACAGACATAGTGAAAGCTGCTTCCTTGATGAAACCCAGCTCACACCCGGCAGACTCCATTCACTGTTGACTTGATCACGGCTATGAGTTTGACCCTGTATGAAATCTCACTCACTGTTCTAGCTTTCATTTTATTTTTATGTTTATGAGTGTTTTGTCTTCATGTCTATGCTCCCTTTGTATGTTGTGATGGCAGAGAACTGAAGTTACAGATGGTTGTGGACTACATCATGGGTGCTAGAAACTGAACCCAGGTCCTCTGGAAAAAAATGGCCAGTGTTCTTAATTGTTGAGCTAGCTCTCCAATGCCTAAATTTCAGTTCCTTAGAGGCATTAATTAAATGCACTTGAAATTTCTTGTAACGCTTACATTTCATTTCACACTACAGAGTTCTTGGCAGTGTTTTTATTTATTATTCTCATGGATGTTTGTTTGTTGTGGGCTTTATGGAGGCTGGTTTCTGTACTCTCAGTTTTAGACAGCAGTGATTTCCCAGCCCAAATGCATAGAACACTATCTAATTTTTTTAAAAGGAACTGTGTAAGGTGAGACTCGATTTTATTTCAAGCACTATATATTTTGTGTATTTACATATTTGATTATTATTAATCATATCATTTCGCTACTTCCATGTTTCTTTTATCCTGTAAAAATTATGATAGCCCATTTTTCATAGATATATTTGTCATTTGTTAATTCATTCCATGCTGCAACACAGAGTTCTTGTACTCTGCCAGGACTAGACATGCTCACAGGCTCCTGGAAGCTATGATGAGCAAATTAAGTCTCTTCTTCAAAAATAAAATTCTTAGCGTAATGTAGGAATTAAACTGGGTGAGTGTATATAAATGCCAAGCACATACAAACACGGAAAAAAGTATAGTCTTAAAAGTCCATTAGCTATTTTAGTGACCAACCCAGAGAATTGATTTTTTATCCATAAGAGTATACCAGGATGAGGAATGTCAGTTATTTCTGGGGAAGTTAAGAAATTGTAAACCAAAGGGGATAAACAAGAATAAAGGAAGTAGATAAGTGTGCAATGTGGGTGCTTAATTCTGGTCAGTTTTTTTTTTTTAAAAAAAAAATCTGTACAGAGTAGAGCATTCATACTTGATAGGTGAAAAGAAATTAAGGAATGGGATGTGACAAGATAAGAAAGGAAATGGCCTTTGGAGTTGAAGGAACAGCATAGTACATGATAGAGATATGAAGTATACAACTTGTTATTGAAAAAAAGAAAAAGAAAAACAAAACAATCTGTCCAGAATATGGAGAATAATGGACAAAATGAATAGGCAAAGCACAACCACACTGTATGTAGTCTTAAAATCCACCCTATTTTTAAAGTTATAAATTATTTCTCTACCCTATAGAACATAAAGATTTGAAGTGAAAGTCTAGAGAATGCACACAAGGATTTGGGATAGGATATGAGTAATAAAAAGGACCTGACATGGTGAGAAAAGAGGATAGGCAAGATATAAATTACTGAAAGAGACAAAGGAAAATTTGTGAAAAGGAGTAGACCGAGAAGAGATGGACTAAAAAGCATCTAAGACTAAAGAATGACTGCTTTCTCTTGTTTTTTGGAAGTATTATTGATTATTGAAAAGGTTAAGAATCTTCAGAGACAGGGAAAGAAAGGGTGTGGATAAAAGAGATTGCAGGGCTAGAGAGGGGAGAGGTAGGTAGGAATGAGAGTAGTTTAAATGTTAATATGCTTTAACATACACATACAGACAATAAAGTAATAGATATGTGATAGATCTCTTGAAATGTGGGACTTTGCACAGTTAAAAATTAAGAACTTGGGGCAGGGGAAATGGTTCAGTCCGTAAAGTATTTGCAATACAAGCACAGGGACCTGGATTCATGTTTACCTCCCCACATAAAATTCTGGTTGTAATGTTACATTGTAACTACAACACTGGGGAGACAGACAGGATGATCTTTGGGGTTTTCTGGCCTGTAAGTCCAGCCGAGTCTTGAGCTCCAGATTCAGTGAGAGACCCTGTCTCAAAAATAAGTAACTGAAAACAGGTCAATCTCCACATGCGTGCACACATGAGTACACATACAAACACAGAATCACAAAAACATGTACACACCCTACACATTTCACAAGAGGGGAAAGAGAACTAAAAGAAATAGATGATGTACACTTGTAGAAACAGGGTACAATGAAGTAATGTGGTTCATTAGCAAACATAAACACGTTTATTGTTGAGAAAATTCTCAGAGAAACAGGCCTTCAAAGAGATCTAATGTTCACATCTCACTTTTTAAGAGAAAATGCTAAATAAGTGCGTACTTACTTGATGTCCTATACCAGTGACTAAATTTCTCTTCTCTAATGCACATGCGCTGTGGAATAAGACATAATTATTAACATAACCATTGAATTCCAACAAAAAACTTGATTTTCTTTAAATTCAGGTAACTTTCCCCTCCTCGGCTAGGTGGAAGGTGTTGGCTTATTCTTTCTCCTACTTGCACCTCTGTCTGGCCCTATCAGAATGAGAAAATTGGGGTGCCACAGGGCAGTTATGGGCAGAAAATGTTCTAAGAGTTCAGCGGGCTTTTATTCTGTCCTCTAGCTCTTTCATGAATTTCTAAGCTTTTCTGAAGACTACACTTTCTTTGGAACTGGAGTGTCTAATCCTGCGGATTTAGAACAGCTCTGCCACCTCCATTTTTCTATACTGAGAAATCCACGTTTAGGTTCGTTGAAGGTTTTTCTATCTCTCTTGACAGACGACACTCTTTACAAAAACCATCTCTACGCATCTTTACTCTCCACACCATCAATTCAGTCCATACTGGCTGATAGTAGGCTCTCCGCAGTCACCAATGAACCAGTCAGTCTAGCAGATGGACGCCAATTCCTGCCTGCTTCACATCATGTGGACTGACTTTACAAGAAGCTCTCAACAGGTTTCCATACACCTCAAGACACCATCCAGCCTGTTGGGAATATTTTCCTAATGCGAGCTCTTCACTGACGCAAAATTCCCAATCAAGCCAAATCAAACCAAGCCAAATTAAGAGAGATCCAAGTTTAATGGGAGTTCTGCCCTCTCGGGTGGCCCGGAGGGGGGAACTGGGAAGTGGCACAAACAGGACCACCGACCACCAGGAGGAAGAAAAAGAGACCACGTGTTCCTCTTTTAGGAGTTCACTTAAATAGTCTTGGGAGTGGTCCTGACCTCCCCCCCAGGGAGGGGTCAGGGCCTGGCCTGCTCAGCTACGGAGTCCAGAGTGCTAACTCTCAGAGTCAGGGGACTAGGATAGACGCAAGGGGCTGGGGCCTAAGTTCCCAACTTAACCCATCTGCAAATAGAGCTCAGGAATATGATTGACAAGGTCCAAGTGGATTCCCATTAAAAAAAAAATAAATAAAACAGGAGATCTTATAAATTTTCTTCTCCCAGGGGCACGCATGCATGTCTCTCTTAGGATCCTCCTTGTTACCTAGCTTCTCAAGGGTTGTGGATTGTAGACTGGTTATCCTTTTCTTTAATATCCACTTATGAGTGAGTACATACCGTGTTTGTCCTTCTGGGTCTAGGTTACCTCACTCATGAAATAAGATCTCCCAAGTAAATTCGGGGTGGGGGCAGTAAGAGTGAAGGGAGGGAGGAGAACATGAGGGAAAGGTATGGTTGAGTTGGGGGAGGGACAGAAAGGGAGAGCAAGGAAAGAGGAAATGAGGGAGTCATAATGGGGCTAGCAAGAAACCTGGCACTAGGGAAATTTTCAGCAATCCACAAGGATGACCCCAGCTAAGACCCGAAGCAGTAGAGGAGAGGGTGCCTGAACTGACCTTTCCCTGTAATCAGATTGATGATCATCCTAATTGTCAACATAGAAACTTCATCCACTAACTGATGGAAGCAGATGCAGAGACCCACAGCTAAGCCCTGATCTGAGCTCTCAGACTGCAGTCAAAGAGAGGGAAGAGCAATAATATGAGTAAGGTGTGGGGGGGGGGCGTTAAGATCATGATGGGGAAACAGAGACAGTTGACCTGAACTAGTGGAGTTCACTGCCTCTAGACTGACAGCTAGAAGAACCTACATAAGACCAAACTGGGTCCTCTGAGTGTGGGTGACAGTTCTGTGACTTGGGAAGTCTGTGAGCACACTGGCAGTGGAACCAGGATGTATCTCTAGTGCTTGGACTGGCTTTTTGGAGCCCATTCCCTATGCAGAGATACCTTGCCCAACCTAGATACAGTGGCGAGGGGCTTGGTCCTGTCTTGATATGCCAGATTTTGTTGACTCCGCATGGGAGGGAGGCCTTACTCCTTCTGAGGAGTGGATGAAAGATGGGTTTGGGGGGAAAGTGGGGGAGAGGGAGGAGGAACTGTGGTTGGTATGTAAAATGAAAACCAAACATTTAAATTAAAAAATAAAATGATAAAACATATTTTTCTGTTCTTTGCCATGTTTTCTCGGGGAAATCTTTTATTTCACAACCACATAGATACATATACTTTGGTATAGATTTCCTAAAGTTTGTATTGATTGTCCTAAGGCATCTAGTGAGAACCTAAGTCCTCTATCTGATGGACAAAAGATGTCCCTGGAAAAGAAAAATACATGAATTTTGTATCCTGAATTTTACTCTTTAATAAATTATCACTTCATATACTGTAATTTACAATAGGAAAATCAAAGTAAGTAGTGTTTATCCAAACCTGTGGTCCTGCAGCCAACTATAACAAGGGCTCGGTCTGCACTTCCCCCACCGTTTCCTGTTTTCTTCCTTTCTCTTCCTTCTTCCCTAACTCTTCCTGATCTCCTTTCATCCATTTGCCATTCATGACATTTCCCCCATTTTTTTCCAGTTTGCCTCCCTGAAAATGATTACTGCAGAATGTAAGTAGAGGTGTTTCATTGCAGCCTGTGTCATTTTCTCATCACAGAGCAGTAAATTGGTTTCAAAGGTGGCTACTTCACACAAGCAAGACAAAGACTCAGTGAAAAACTTGATACTTCTAAAAAAATAATAATAAGACAAAAAAAACTTGATACTTCTTAAACCATCTAAATCAGCTATCTAGATTAAGAAGCAACACTCAGTCAACATCATCTTCATCCATATTAAAAACTATTATCCAAACAAAAATAGTTTTTAAAGACATAAATATTAAAATATTAGTTTCAAAGTATTAGCTTCCTAGCAATGTGAATTCTTTAGACTGCAGAGATGCTTGGGTTCAGAGCACTTGCTTTTTCACGGAGCACCAGAGCTCAGTTCTCATGTCAGGCAGCTCACAGATGCCTGTAATTCCAGTGTCCAGGGATCAGATGCCCTTTGGCCTCCATGAGCAGACACACCACATGCAGACACACAGATAAATAACAATTAAATATATCATTTTTAAAAGTGATTTTTCTTTGGATCATGCACCACATAACACATATGTACAAAAATGAGAAGCAGGCATAAGCTATATCATAAAATAGTACATAACATTTTACTATTTCTAGTATGAATGTTGTACATTTTAGCATATGGAGCGTGTGTACGTTTTAAAACTACAATTCATTAAAACTATTTCTGTTTCCTCAGCTCTTGACTGTGATCTGTCTGATTTTTGCAATGAAAACCCAGGCTTATCACCCCTTTACATGCTATGCCCCATTGTTATTCACATAATTTAGTGAAAGATTTCATTTTGTCCCTTCTGGCTTTGCAATATAGATATTTATGCTTGTATGGCAACCCATGCAGTCTACCTTCGTTCCATAATCTTCTCATCTCTCATATACATGTGACAAGACAATGCAGATCAAAATTTCCTAAATTTTGTACTCTTGCTGAAGCCATTTCAGTTTTAGCTAGAATTTAGCTACCTTGGTGGAGAATCCAAGGAAAATTATCCAAATCTGTTCTAAGAACCCTAAGGTCAAGATGACCTAGCTAACTTAGCCTATTTGTGTACATCTCTTTACAGTGACTTGATTACCTTAGCTTCTGTTAGGCGGCTTGCTTCTCCAAATCAGCCCATCCTGAAGCTGCTGAGTGAGATGCCAGAATGTGGTTTCTGCCTTCAAAAACCTTGTATTCTGGACACTCAAGGCCACACCTACGTCCCCAAATGTCCCCAAATACCTGGGCGTGGTCCCAGCTGGCTGAAATAAAGGATTCCCATTGGCTTTAAACTATGTCTGAGTCATTGTCTCTTGTAGGCTACCCAGAATAAATCTACACTGTCTGTATACACCGCATTCACAATATAACTTCAAAGATTCAATAAAAAAATAGAGAAAAACGTGAGTGGAAGAATCAAAATTAGCTATGCTAATCTTGCTAAATTGTTATGCAATGCAGGTGCAGAATAGTAACAGACTCTTGAACTGCTATCCCTGACACATGGGTGTCCACCAGGGTCTTGTGGTTGATTTCTGAGAATGGTAGCTGCAGTGACCTGATCTGATTCCATCTTCCCCAACAGGATTTTTCCAAATTTTTCTCATAATCTGATGTTAACACCCTTTAACCATCTTTGTTATATAAACTGTCATATTCAAATGTAATTTTTCAATCAACATTTGCATGTTCTTTTATTCTTAGTCTTTTGTATGTAACCAGAAATAGTTTTTTTTTTTTCTCATTGAAATCAACAGTAGCCTTCCAATGCTAAATGCAATCGTTTATTTCAGTCCTATATGAATTCTATGTAGCACATACCTTGGTTCACTGTATTTCCCTCTACCTGATAACTTTGCCCTCACCTCATTATTTGTATTCAACGCTCTATTGTCTACATATCTTGTGGCTATATCAACTCTTTCATATCCTTTCCATGTTCCTAATATGACAGCGCTCTAAATTATAACTGTTTAATCATTTTAGACCTAACAATCTTGTTCTAAGATGCATATGTACTACTTTAATTACATGCTGAGTTCAATTGTGTTCATATCTTTACTTTATTTTTCAGCCATTATGTCAAAAAGATTTTATTGTCCATTAGGAAAATACACCTTCTGCCGGGCAGTGGTGGCGCACGCCTTTAATCCCAGCACTCGGGAGGCAGAGGCAGGCGGATCTCTGTGAGATCGAGGCCAGCCTGGTCTACTAGAGCTAGTTCCAGGACAGGAACCAAAAAGCTATGGAGAAACCCTGTCTCGAAAATCCAAAAAAAAAAAAAAAAAAACAAAAAAAAAAAAAAAAAAAAAAAAAAAAAAAAAAAAAAAAAAAAGAAAGAAAGAAAGAAAAGAAAAATACACCTTACCATTGCATAGTGTTAACTTCAAAGCAGGTATATTTAACCTTTGTTGTATCACACATTTCTTTTTTCTTAATATTTTTAAGATTTTCTTATTTATATTTTTTATTTTTGTATGTATTTTTAACATATATATAGATATAAGTGTGTGTGTTTGTGTGTGTGTTTGTGTGTGTGTGTGTACCACTTGTGTGCCTGGGAACTCCAGAAGCCAGAAGGAGGTATTGGATCCTCTGGAACTGGAGTTTCAGATAGTTGTGAGTTCTGGGAACTAAATTTCAGTCCTCTGCAAGGGCAGTAGGTGCTTTTATCCTCTGAGTCATGATTCCATTTCCGCACATACTGCCACAATTCTTGATATATGAATAACACTTAAGTGTTGAATAAGTGAAAACCTTACCTGAAACTCTTTTTAATGATATAACAATGTCAACTCCTCATCCCATTAGATATTACAATTGAGTCTATGCTAAACAATGTCTCCTTGTTTCACTGTCACTGAGAATCCTCCTTACAAGAGTTAGGAAATTTCTACAGTACCCTGGAAACCATGCTCTCAAAATCCCTGTGAAATGATGTTCTCAAGATAAAGGTGTAGACACTGAGAGATAACAGGGCCAAAAATAGTGAGATCTTCATGGACACATGGTTTGCTATAGTAGGAGGCTGCTTGTTTGTTCTGGCTACTCAGCCCCAAAAATAACTACACAGAAACTGTCTTAATTAAGCCACTGCTTGGCCTATTAGCTCTAGCTTCTTATTGGTTATCTCTTGCATGTCAATTTAACCCATTTCTTTTCATTTGTGTATCGCCACGTGGCTGTGGCTTACCAGCAAGGTTCCATCCAGTGTCTACGTCTCTGGTGGGGCTACATGGCTTCTCCTGACTCTGCCTTCTTTCTCCCAGCATTCAATTTAGTTTCCCCAACTAGCTCTGTTCTGCCCTGCTATAGATTTAAGGAAGTTTATTTATTGATTAATACTAATCACAGCATACAGAGGAGAATCCCACATCAGTATGCTTCATACTTAGGTTTCCCATGAGTAGATCTCAGAGAGCTATCATTCTTCTGTCCCTCCCATGAGCATAAGGCATGCAATGTTCAAAAGGCCTCTACAAGACCCTACCTTTCTGACTCTCCAGTGCCAGGTTCTCAACCGCTAGATGTGTGAGAAACACTTTTCTGATTTTCACAAGCCATAAGTCTATGCCAAGCCCAACATGATACCTACTTTGGGATTACAGACACTAGTTCTCTGATAAAATTATAGCTTCTTTTCATTAAAAAATGCAAACAAAAAACAAGTTGTTCCCAGGTCAAAACCTTCTGTTGGTGTCGATAATTGTAGAGTAACACCCCATGCATCCTCCAGGGATCTATAGACAAGAGTTTCCAAACTCAAGATCCAGATTATGTCATTTCTTTCCAACACCCTGAAATTAAAATGTTCACTTATCTACCAACTTCCCCTACCTTCTGTCTTCGTAGGAACTTGAAAGCTGTTTCTTATGAGCCTGGAATGGTTTCACTCTCCTTTAAGAGCCCACCGCTACAACACTGCTCTAAGCCTTTCTTCACCCCTTCCTTGGTAAATTCTATTTCCCATCAATGATTCTATAGTTCTCTGTTTGCCTCTTACTGACATTATGCACATGTACTACTGGGGTGCTAACCTGTGTGTCCCCTCCACTACACTACGGGGAATTATTTTGTCATAGAGCCTGACTCCTATTCCCTCAAAGACCAACTACCAAGAAATTATTACTAAGCCCATCTTTAGTCCAGTGGATCCACTTAGCACCTACTCTCTGTTAAATATTGTACTAGGCCTTTCACCAAAATAAATGTTCTCCTGTTTAGATTGAATAAAAGATGCCAAACTACAAAAGTGTATTTTCCTCTTCTCTCAATTATAAAAATAGTTTGGTTAAAGCAAATAAGATTCCTGGAGAGTTGTCTAAGAGTATGAAGAGGAGGTGATAATGAGGACTTTGCTTTGTAGTGAAGAAGCAGAAAACAATGAAACAAGTGCCAGGAGGCTGACATGGTGTCCTCATTTTTACGTAGAGATACTTTTCCTATAAGCTCTTTGTATTCCCTGCTGCGAGGCTAAGATCATGATGCCATTCCTAGGTGGAGATACTTTTCCTATAAACTCTTTGTATTCCCTGCTGTGAGGCTAAGATCATGATGCCATTCCTAGGTGGAGATACTTTTCCCATAAGTACTTTGTATTCCCTGTTTCATGGCCACTTTCTGCTTCCCTTTCCTTTCTCATCAGCTCTCTGTGATGGACAGTCAGCAGGAAAACCAGGGCAGAAATGGGAAAGAATTTGTATTGGGGGTTAGGGGAATACTTTCCAGACTCCAATGAGCAAATGATTTATTCAGGCATATTTTGCGTCAGTCAATAAAAATTTTTTGCACTGTAGGGCAAGGTAGCAGCTTAGTTTTGATATTACACATTAACAGCAGACTCATCTTGACAAAAAGAGTCCCAAAGTCTCCTGATGCTTTCTCTTCTCCCATGCTGGAAGGATTATTATTTTTTTCAATAAAAAATGTTGGAGAAAATCCAGACAAAATCAATTATCAGAAGGCTTTATCTACGAAAATTTGTAGTAAGCAACATGAAACAGTATTTTAGTACAATTGGCTTTAGACTAAGTTCCCAATACCACAAACTATTGACAAGGTATCTTAAGATGTGTATTTTCAGTAGGCAAGAGGGGTTTCGCTAACAATGTCGTAGAGATGTTCCCTTTTAGTTCAATCACAGACCAAGACTGAACAAAGTGTACAACTCTCTCAATTGAGAACAATCTAGAACATATTGAAAACACTCAAAATACAACAAAATCCCAGCTCAGTCAAATGATAATTAAGCATGTAATTGCCACATAAAATTCCAGCTTGGACTCTTTTGTTCTACCATTTTTCAAAGATGATTATATAAAAAAATAACTACAACTTTCCAAAATGATAGTACTAGAAGCATGCATGCCAGGGTTCTATGTTCTTTCTGTAGTTATCTCTGCTTTTTGCACATGTAAGTCAAAAAAGCCTGATCTTCCAGGTAGCAAATAATCTGTATTGAATTCACTATTATTTCCAATAAGCAACTGGGGGAATCATTGCTACAGTCTATGCTTGATAAGGAGAAACCAGAGAAGAATAGTGTATCAGGTCCTTCCTCCTTCATTCCTCAGGTCCCCAAGTATTACAAAGAGCAGTGCCTGGGTTACAGCTCCCACTACTGCTCTCCAGGTCTTAGTTGTATATCTCCTTGTTGATATCCCCATGTGCAGAGTTGCTGAATCCAAAGCTCAATAAATCGGATCTTTTGTATTTTTAGACTTCATTTCCCTAAATGAAATAAATGGGAGTAATATTAGTTACATTGGTGGCACTAAAACATCCATTGAGCTTCGATAATAAGAGCAACAATAACAATAAAATTTTATAGCTTTTTTTTTCTCAGAGGAAATTAAAACACTTTACCAACATTATTGTCTCATTAATCCACATGTCTTTGAAAAATAGAGCGGCGTGTGGAAGAAGGAGTGTGGGCTGGGGAGGCAGGCAGACCTGCTTGAAAATCATTAGGTGGAAAGTAAACAAGATGATGGGGGTGAAGCAGCGTGTGCCCTCTGCTCACTGCTTCCGACCTATGTCCAAGCTTCCTCTCCGACTTTCACCCCTTTGCTGAGTCCCCAAACCTTCTTTCTAGAGTAGTAAAGTCTGAGAGAAGGTCATTTCAGTTGGAGGGGGTATTTCT